ACTTATGATTTGCTTTCTCCCACCCGTTTCCCTGATGAGTCTAAAGAGTTGCCTAGTGTTGCCTATCGCCGATGCTTTTTCCATCTCTTTCGCCTTTGTCAACCACCACTGTTCACGGTCCTTGCGGAGACTTTTCGTAAGTTTCCTTTTGTGCAGCTTTCGCTCCTCATTGAATTCGGAGCTCGCCGGAATAAGTCTTCTAGCATCTATCAGTTCGGATGAGGCAGTCAAAATCCAATGGTTTTTACTCACCTTTGGATTTACCTTATTCACAGCTTTTACAGCTGTATCTATGGCTGACTGAATATTCTTCCAGGCTTCTTCAGGGTGAGCGCAACTATCTAACTCAGATATGTGTTTAGCTAGTTCTTCCTCAAATAGGGACTTAGTTTCCTGATCGAGCTGGGGACGTGATGGGTTTACCGCTAGCTGTTTCCTACGTCCGTTCAGTCGTAAGCATACACGAGCGCGGACCAGTGCGTGATCGGTATCTACACATGTGTTCCAGAAGGAGCGACAATCTCCTACCGACCCACGCCAAAGATAGCTTATTGCTATGTGGTCTATTTGTGTCCAGCGTTGGTTTGATGATGGGGGTCGCCAGGTCAGACAGTGTCTCTCCTTGTGTTTGAAGTTAGTGCTTACAAGAAACAAATGATTATCTGAACAGAACTGAAGGAGACGGTCACCGTTGTCAGTTCGCTGGCACGGAATTCCGTATGTGCCACCGACATTCTTCTCAGATTGACACAATTTCCCTACTTGAGCATTAAAGTCACCAGCTAAAACGACTATATCTGAGCGTTTAGCCTTTCGCAGCAAACTAGACAGCTTTTGGTAGAACTCATCCTTCGTTTCATCCGAACTGCAGTCAGTGGGGGCGTAGGCGGAGATTACGAAAAGGCATCGGCGAGTAGTGCAGTCCTTTCTCCTTTTCACTGATCCGTTCAGACGGACAGCACACATTCGGCTATCTACCGGGATCCAGTCAAGTAATGTCTTTTCTGCCCTAGTATTCAAAGCTATCCCAACACCAGCTAATCCTCGTGAGCTAGCTGTAGCATCTCCTGACACCCTCAAGGTGAATTTTGCAGATTCATCCTGTTGGCCAGGTGAGGTTAGGTGAATAACCACACTTGGGTCTTGTATGCGTGTTTCTGAAACACAACATAAATCAATGGCTCGGGATGCCAGAGTCTTGGCTAGTGATGCTTGTTGTCCTATTTGGCAAAGTGTCCTAACATTAAATGCCCCTATATGAAATTGGTGGCGTGGCTTTAGGAGACTATCCATGGTGGTCTTTTGGCTTCCGTCGTTTTCAGTGCACACAGAGTGACCTTGGCAGACTTTGGCACTTTTTCGCATTCATAATTATTTTGTGTTTATGCTGTTTTTCTTTTTTAGTTTTTTTTTGCTGTTGGTGTCTTCAGATTTACTTTTTTTTGTTTGTTTAATACTTATTTTAAACGTCGGTAAAATTAGATGCAAATATTGTAGATATGTGCTGAAAATTCCACACTGTACCATTAGTACTGTTTCTGGAATAAAGCAAATTATTATTATTATTAAGAGAAAGTGAAGAGCCATTCAGTAGAGGAGTTGCATTAGTAGAAGGAAGGCAAGATAATAGAGATGAAGATGAAGACAAAGATGAGTGACGATTAGAGAGGTTTCGCGTGCACTTCGGATTGTGAGGGCGATTGTTACTCCCCGGCTGCCCACACCGTGGAAGTTGGTTGCGTGACCGCAGAGTCCAGGGGACAACTGCTTGAGGCCGGTCACACGCGGCCTGTTTTTGTAGGTTCTTTTTTGTTTGGTGTGTCTCAGTAGCATATTTATCACTTCTGCCCTGTAACAGGGCAGCAGGAAGCGCGGTCGTTGTTAATTCGGGCCCCGACCGATCCGGCATGATATTTTGTGATTTATTTTGAGTCATAGGACCGGGTTGGGTAACTGCTTTTTGTCTAACCGCTATCCAAACAACCTTTCTGGCATGGTAGGACCCACAGGAACATAAGTTCCAGCCAGTATTGCTTGTTGGGTAATTGCGGTGTTCAAGCCCGACCATCACGTCAAGGTAGCAGCTTTCGGTCGGGGCTGCCATCAGTACATCAACACGAAAACAAATGTCAACAGATTGATTTCAGCCGAGCACAGAAAGCAACTACGTGAGATTCTAAAGAACAAAGACTTGGTTCTGGCATTGTCCTGATAGATCGCCAAGACTACATCGATAAAATGTTATCAGTCTTGTCAGATGAAAACAAATTTTCAAAAGAAAGTAGCCAGAAAGACCAAACGGAACAAACTGAAGGAAAGCTAACACAAATGCTGAAGAAGATGGAGAATGAATCGATTATCAGCTCTGAATTATTCGAGCGAATACGACCCTCTGGTTCCGTGATTCCCCGTTTATATGGTCTGCCGAAAGTGCACAAAGAGAACATGCCACTACGTCTAATCTTGGACATGACAAATTCCCCATATCATGCTACCGCCAAATGGCTCGCAGAAATCCTCTTACCTATCAGAAATAACCTCTGCAAGCATAGTGTTTCTGATTCGTTTGAATTCGTCGATTCAATAAGTGATGCTAATGTATCCGGGAAGAAAATGATATCCATGGATGTTACTTCGCTTTTCACTAACGTTCCCCTCACTGAAACTATTTGCTTTATATGCAAATTCATTGAGGATAATAATGTAGACGTATGTGTTCCGATCCACTACTTAAAGGAACTACTATTGAGGTGCACTCTAAATGTCCAATTCAAGTTCAACAACACGATTTATAGACAAAGAGATGGAGTGGCAATGGGGTCACCATTGGGTCCTTTACTTGCAGACTGCTTCTTGGCAAGTTTGGAGAATAGTATTTTACGGCCTACTATCGATAGTTTCCATTTGTACCAAAGATACATGGATGATACTTTCATCATATGTGACGACAATACCGACATCGAATTGATAACTAAAGAGTTCAACAGCTGCCATCATGCCATCCAGTTCACGTCGGAATCAGAGATTAACTCGGAATTCCATTTTTTGGATGTTTTTCTAAAAAGGAGATCTGATGGTTCTCTTCAAAGATCGATCTACAGGAAACCAACATGGAATGGTCAGTACACGAATTTCCATAGTTGGGTCCCTTTGAGAAGAAAGAGAAATCTGATCCACTCCTTATCCTCAAGAATAAGGAGGATATGTTCCAGTGATACAATCGATGGGGAACTGGAGCGACTCAGACAAGTCCTCATAGAGAATGGATATCCTCCAAGATTTATCGAGAAAAACATGAAGTTAAGGGAAAAGCCTGAAAGAACCCAGACGGTGCCGAAGAAACTGCTATTTATGAGTGTTGAATTTAAAGGTGATACCGCAGCTGAGATCCTGAAGAATCGCTTATGCAGATCACTGAGGAAAGCCTTCTTTATGGCTGAGCTACGTATCAATTTCTACAGCCGACAAATGATCAATGGATGTGTGAAGGATAAACTGCCGCTTTGGGCCACCTCAATGTGTGTTTATAAATTCACCTGCTCGTGTGGAGCTAGTTATATTGGCCGCACAAAGCGCACACTTTCCAAACGCATCTCTGAACATTATCCGGCATGGTTAGCAAAAGGACAATGCAAGACAATTACTAGCTCAATTCTCGAGCATTTGGTGAACTCAGGCCACGTAGCTCCACCAGAGTCGTCTTTCAAGATCATCTACAAGGTGAGGCCAAATGGTACAAAGGGCGTCAGGTTTCGGCTTTTGTGTATGGCGGAGGCGCTGGCAATTCATCAATACAACCCCGAACTCTGTATACAGAAAAAGTTTGTCCAGTCTCTTATTCTACCTTGGTCTTAACCTCTTCACTAGTCGTTCCCTGTAAATAAAAAATATTTTTTGATTTTTTCTTTTCATTTTAATTTTACTTTTAGTTTGCTTTTGCTTTAATAATTAATTCACTATTATCACTCTCATATGCTCCTTTTGTACATTTTCACACCCTCTTCACACTTGTTAAATTGACACTCAACTACCTTTATTCTCACTCAATAGCAATTTTAACCTTATCAAATTTCTATCTTTGTGCCGTTGAGTACCACGTAATTTACAACTTTTAATTTTCACTTCTAAAGCCACTTCTGAGTAATTATATCAATTATGTCACCCCCTATTACTCAATAATAGACCACTATATATTTTTGTAAGTATAAATACGACTGTACAGCCTCTGAAGATGATTTCGTCGATAAAGAAAATTTTCTTCGCTGAATCTGTCTTTTTATTTTCTTCACAAGTATGTTTACTTGCTTTCTTGATAATATCCTAATTTAATCTGTGCCTATCTTTTTTATATATTGTTTTATTTTTGTGTGGTGGTATTTTTAGTGTCAATATAGCGGCAGGTTTGTGTTTTAATAAGCGACGTAATAATGATAATGGTAATCGGTGAGATATTAGTCTAGAGTTTACTCTGTAAACCATGTGACACGGCAAAAAATGATGTGAATCTGAAGTTGGACTGAAGTGCATATATCAACTGAACTAAAACTAACATTTTCGTATTCCTTAAATGTAAAACCTTCAGTGTTCATTTGTCCAAGTTTCGAGAAATCGCTTATAGCAATAGTCAACTAACTTCAATCATTCTTTCAAGTAAAAATCTTCACGGTAAAAAATGTTCTTATTGTAAATCCTTTTAATTTACTAGAGCTAGAGCTTTAGTCAACACACTTGTGAAAAACTCAAGTTGTTAAATTTTAACAAAACTAAGTTTCTAGAAATGAAACACTAGGATTTTAACTAGTGAAGACCCATAAATATAAATAGATAGAAAACAGCTTCCCTTTTACTTTCCAATCCTAACTTTAAACAACCATTACAACTGTATCATATAGGCATGCTGAGAAAGTCAGAAAGTCAGTGAAAATCATATCTGGAAATTTTACAAATACACAAAACAAAACGACAACAGACAGCAGAAATATTACACGATAGTCACTTACCCAGGAGTGTACTGTTCTCTGTCTGTAGGCCAGGATGCACGGATATTAGTTGAGGTGACTATAGCACCATGGCGCCAATCTCCTTTCAGTGCACGTTTTAAATGGTGCACAATAGCTAAACGATCTGTGGTAATCCGCTTACGAAGAGTTTTATCGTGCAACAGAGTTCCTCGACACCACATAAAATTCACCCCATCAATGACAAGCAAACAAGGTGGGCCATCAGGCGTTGATGAAAGAGAACGCATCTAAAAAAGTAGTTAACATTATTTTAAGAACAACTGAAAAATTTTAGAAATAAAAGCTGACAAAATGAACTTTCTGCGAACAAATTATCAACAGCTACTGTTGCATCCAACAGAGGTGAATGGAAACAAAAGCCATTCAGCATCGAGTGACGTTTACCTTGTCATCCCTGACTATAATTGGCTAGGAATCTTCCCAGGCAGCTGACACTTTTAAGACCTCGGACATTTTCCTTATTCGGAATAACGAATTTGTTACAGAGTGCAGTCGTATAACTTTCAACTGTTTTTGGGTCCCACTTAATAAATAGGTTGCCGCAATAAACGACCTAGTACGTCCGAGGGTGGGCAGACTTGAATCTTCCTCGCGAAATGCTTTCATGTAGCTACTCGTTCATAGACTCGGCCAGGTAAGTTCCATTCACTGCTTTCGCGAGGGTGATCCTTAGCCAGTATCCTATCCCTAGCACAAACTTATGTGTGAAGTATTTCTTGGTGACTGTAATGTAACAAGTTTGTGCTCTTAATTAAGAATAATAATATTAACGGTTAGTTTGGACTCTTCAAAGACAAATAAAGAGGCACATATAGCAAAGACCGTCGACTTGTTAAACGTACCGCAGCCTACATTTACCTACATTCTATGCGGCGCAACAAAAGTATGATAGATGCAATTAATGATAACCAAAGGCGCTTTGAAGAGCATTACAACTGAATGGGACACATCATTTTTAGTATGATAGTCTGTAGAAAAATTCATCGAGTTCGAGACATTTTATCGAGTCTCGGTGATCAAATGGCTACTATGAATAAACAAGAACATTTAATATTATTTTAGACCTATGATTTTAATCATGTAAAGGTATACTGACAGAATTCAATCGGCTTTTGGCATTCACACATGTCGTTAACCAGTAGTCAAACGGAGTTATTTTCTTCAACTCAGGGTTTATCTGTACTGTACATTTAGCTCTATATAGGATTTTACCGTTGGAACCCGAAATGTCAGTATATTACAACTGGAAACATGTTTCATAATCGAGTATAAATTCTCATCTTGAACTTCTTATACGGGGTTGTGATGCATGGGTCCTTAGGTCAAAATTCAGTCTTGCCTACAAATGTTTGTATAGCAACGGTATCAACTGATCAGTATAATGTCGTCTAGTACAGTTCTCAGTAATAACTTGGGATATTCATTTTCAGGGAGCTCACCAGTAAACAGACAACCGTTTACATTCACGCTTACTTTTGATATTGATTATGAGGTCGTAATACTTTTAGTAAACTAAAAATATCTTAAAAGTCATTTCAATGAAATCTGAAAGTGCTTTCATGACAAAAGTGACCTAGAGGTACCAACCGCCTACGCGCCCCTATCGGTACATAAAACTTGATAATATATACAACTAAAGCAAGAATGAACAAGTTGTATCATCAACAGAATGAAATGCATTACCTCTCTTAATAAGATACCAATACAATCTGTTGCATACTTGACCCTAGCAACACCAAAATTGATCAAGTCTATCCAAGAAGTTCCTTCACACATGATATCTTTTTTAGTCCATTCTACTTTTCGAGAAATGACTGGTTTTACCTAGAAAGAGAAAAAAAGTACACAAATAAAGTTTTGATTTTCGAAGATTTAACTAAAATTCCAAAGAAGTAAACTAATATTTCGAAAACAAGAAGTCACCGTCCTACTAATTAACTAAGTGGTACCTGTAAAACTTGTGCATTTATGATTGGGGCCGAAATGAGCGATTAAATATGGTACATTTTTCAAAAAAACACATCCAAATTCGGATAAATTTAAATGTGGGTGACGACGTGAAATAAACACCATAAAAAGAAATACAATGTGACGAAACATGAAGCGTAATCTTCTTTTTTAACTGTTGAAAGTATGAGAACTACAGGTATCAGATCATAGAAAATGCTTGCTTATAAATATATAACCCTTTAATTCGCCTATCTACCTATCATTTTCATTAAATGAAGTGAGTAAATATATATAAGCAAAACACAGGGCATGGGCAGCGAACGCAGCTACTGACGGAAGTCTGCAGCAACCTGTTGGGAATGTTTTAGGTGACGGGAGCGTCAAGTCTGTGAATCATCTAGAAGCACAGAGTTGACATTATTTCAAAAATTCGGACTTTATTCTTTGTTCTGAATGCAGTGTATTTCCACAATAATTTTACAGTAATGAAGATATGTCATGTTTTTTGGATTTTGGATTTGACACCCGCATCAGTGCTACCTATAGTTCAAACAGTGCTGTCCAGGTGAGTGAAGGAAACAACTTTCGATTTCTCTCTTTGGTGGTGAATGTTGTTGGTGGTTGGTTGTCTTCATTACCTCTGTCTTTTGAATGTTCACCTGAAGTCCTACCTTTTCTGTCTTCTCCGGCAACTTGTTGGTTTTTGCCTGTAGATCTACAACTTTGTGCTACATCAGACAAATCATCCACGGAGTACAGACCTAGAGCATTTGCCCGTTCAACCTTCATTTACCTCGTAAGTTAGGGAAGTGGTGGTTTTAAGCATTTGGCGGATACTTCCACACTTAACACCAGCCAGAGGAGAACTCTAATGCACTGGTACACTATCGCTGGCGAAAAACTACGATAAATGCAGAGCAATATCTAACTGAAGTAACAGATAATACCAAATCCAGCTAAGATCAAAATACTCACAAAATTAATACATAAAAAATCTAGAAAAGCAAGAGATATTAAGTACTTCTTCAAGTAAGGTTTGGTTGATCTTTAAGAAAGCTTTAAGCCATTCACCAGAACGTGCTGGAAAATCAAAAGCATCTCCTGAAAATTCTTGACAATGCTGATTATGGTGATATTCATTGCTGGTAGATAAATCGTGTGATGGCTCCAGGAAATTTTCACAATTAGTGAAAGGAAATATAAGCCATTTGCTGTTGCCAGTAAAGCAGGTAATTTGTGCCAAAGTTGTAGAGATACCTGTCCCAGGCTGACCATAGAGAACAAATCGTGGAACGGAACGCTTCGATAATAAAACGGATTCAGAAGATGCACTTTCATTGTTAAAACTCTCCTTTTGCAGATTTCGAATACTGATTAGATCTTTCATCATATCCAGTGCAGGTTTCCGCAGCATAAACGAGAGATCATTAAAAGCTTTCAGTTCTTCAGTTAATTCAACCTTCAAAAACGGTTCCATAAAGTGTGAATAATCCTTTGGAGAATACGTAACAAATTTGCCAAGAACTGAGGTTATTTCGAATGGTTCGTCAAAATGAAACATCTTGGTCCTTGGAGCTGGAATGTTTATATGACTTGCGGAAGAGCAACCACGTATGCTAGTACAGGAGTAACCATAACATCGCGAAATATGGGCTACTTTTCTTAGAACTACAACCATCTATGGAAAGACAAAGCACAATATACCATAGGTTTCACACGTAAAATCTCAAAAGCAATCTTATAAATTAGTCCAGCATGAAGTCAGCTAAACTATCATAGAGCTGAGTTGAACACATGAGACGTTTCATAGTAAAGTATTCAAGTAAATGAGCCACTTACATTCTTCATATTGTACAAGTAAACTTATGTGATGGGAAAGAAATGTCTGCAATTATACAACAGCCCTGACCAGAGTTATCCCAACAAACGAGTTTAGTAAAAAATAACGACACTTATCATATAACTATATGGAACTTATATATTGGATTTCTAATATCCACAAAAGTTAACACGACTGTAACTAAGATGAAACTTGGGATAACAGTCGGATGTGTTAGGCTACTTACATACATGCACGCATATATATATATATATATCACTGGGGGACAGTTCACAGACTTGCATTAGTTTGAATTAACAAAATTCAAGTTATCAACTTAGGCTAAAACGACATTAAAAAGCGTACTAAGTCAGCGAAGCAGTCAAATTTAAACATAAGGAAACACTTTATATATGTCCAAACCAAGTTCACTTTTAACGGTTTGAAAAAATTTGGGCATTGAGTATATGATATTCATTGGGAAATACAAAAACCTTTATTATAAGGAAACACTGTCTACCGTGGATTCTCTACTTAATTAGCACTAACAGTCTTTAGTCATTGACTTCGAGTATTTTGTGCATCTTAGACAAACAGATCATATGGCGACACATGGCTCAGACTTCATGGAGTGGTGCTGAATTTCACTCTGGTCACTCAGTGGCCAGATGTAGTTAAAAGAGTAGTTATGACTACTCTTTTAACCACATCTGAGTTTTCGAACGCCTACAAAAGTGGCTTTCTATACTAAAACAGGTTGCATATCATTCAGTTGATTTGCAAATTTACAGATTAAATTCATATATCCAAAATGATCTTTATGTACATATATATATATATATACATTGGTTTCGAACTCCAGCTCACGAGATCCTGGAAAGGTACAAATATCACCAAGTTGTGGTGTGTAATAAATGTTCACAGAAAATCACGTTAGAACATAAGCAAAGTATTGAACATAATATAAACTTATAAACTGTCTAACTCAAATATACACTGTCATGAAAGCCTGTCAACGAACGTTATTTCGTCTGCCCGCCGGTGAAATCAGCACCTGACAGAGTTGCTTGTGATTGGTCTCTTTGACATTGGAGATGCAGCAATTTTAAACACCATGAAGCTGTTTGGTGAAGTTCCTATTTTCCACTATCATTTTATTCGGTTGGCGTATATTTGGCAGTACACACCAATTTAGCACAGAAAGTAAATTTTTCAATTTATTTATTTTCTAAATTCAGGGAATACGTTCGATACCAAAGTTTAAGGACTGTCAAGTATGCACCGAACGTTTCGAAGAGGTGATAACTTAATGCAACTTCAATTATCACTTAACCATTACTTTCAGAGAACCTTAAGCTGATATGAAATACTCAGCAGTCAGATTAATCGCGATGGAGACAGCATGCTTAATGCAGCAAATAGGTGCCTATATTAAGTCAATTGCTGTCACGAAAATCGGAGGACAGGTACAAAAGAAGGTCATATTAGGTAACATAATACATGTGGGCTTCACATTTGTAATCGGAATAAACTAGGTCACCATTCACTTTTAGAAATGATCCTGATTTCGGGAATGTTAAATTAGCTGACCCATCAATATTGAGAGATTCCACCAGTGAAAGTAAGTAAACACTTCCTTCATAAAATTCAGCAGTGTATTTTATTGATATGACTGCACTACTGTCAGTCATCTGTCTAGGCTAATAATGAACTCGTGATAATAATACTTAATATCGTCATTATTATTGTGCTGGTGTGATACAGACAATGGCTTCCAACGGAATATTATTCTCACATATTCCCAAAGTTCATTAGTGCATTAGCAGCAGAACACTCTATGTATTTGAACATTCTGCCTCACGTCGTTTAATGTAAACCGAAATCACACGCTCAGTGATTGGGTGAAGAATAGAAAACTGCATAGAAATAAATAGCGGTTTGGTCACTTGATAGTATAACTTGACTTCTCAGTCTAACCCTTTGACGTAACACTATAGTCATGATGACCATGAACACTGTTGTTACTTAACATAAAGCCGTTATTGTTAGTGCTAACATTCCGGGACAATCTTTGAGAATTACTGCATAACCTGTCATTAAATAATTTTATCATTTCACGATGCTTCCATGGTTTCACTTGATATCGACTAATTGGGTACATTGTGAAGTCCCTTAAGCCTGATGACAACTTCTGGCACCTGTTTGTGCGTTGTCTGTAAAACGTTTACCTGTTAATGTTAATCAGACTATCATCTAAAAATTTATTTATTTATTCAAACCACTGATGTACTGCCCAAGTCAATGATGTCTTCCTTGAACCTTTTCAGATTCTTACAAAGAAACATATATTGTGTGTGCAAATGGAACATACTGACAACAATTAGGGATTAGTCATCGCTGATATCTTATTTTGTGTAATAAACAATATTAAGTGCCTCTGTTTTCCTTCTATTGTAATGCGACCGTGCTCCGGTAGCTTTAATAACATGTGCTGCGATGGAATTTGAGAGCAGACTTTCTGAAAATATTGCGGCATCTTGGAAACTGTTGTTGATAAGGTCAGATAGATAGTAACGTACTGTTTTCTGTAGACACTGTTTCGAATCATCGTTATTACGACAGCTAAAATGCATCATACGTCTAACTGTATAGCCTTACGCATACAATATTTTCTTCATGGTACATTCTGACGTTTGCAAGTCAGAAGTACATTGTCTTTGGAAGATTTCTGTTAAACTTTCCGGGTGACTGGATGGCTATTCGGTTGGGATGTCAGGCTTAAATAATAGATAACTCTAAAAGCTTTGGAATCTAAATACTTTCTTTGAGATGTGGACGCATTTACTTTCGTAAGCGACAACATAATCTTTCGATCAAGAAACTTCTCCGAGTGTCCACTTTTACTTAGCAATTCAAACACTCAGCTACCCATTAAGTTATTAGTTTCAGGAGACTAGTGTATTGCTCTGATAAATACCTCTACCCTTTGACTTTTGCATCAGTTTTATTCTCTATATGTCGTCCTGTCGACATGCTGACATTGATAAAAATTACG